GCGGGTTTTGGCTGCCCATCAGAAAAAACCGGGCTATCTATCCAGGGTACTGGAGACCGCATCCCATCATAACCAAATCTTAGGTCCTGGTAGCCAGATGTTGGGATGCCTCCAGATAAAACTCCTCTACAATAAGTATTGTTTGAATTCAAAGTTGAGTTATGGTTTGTTGGTTTCAATGGTGCTGAGCCATTATTAGCATTGGAATTTCCATTTGCAACACCATTAGCATTTCCCTTGGTTGTTTCTACAGTCAGAGGTGCCTGCTCTGCAGCTACGGAGGTGGAAACCTCCACCTGGGAAGACATCTGGTTAGAGGGATATGGGCCAACAGGGGGAGGAGTCGGTGGCTGGTAATAAGGACTAGGATACTGATAATGTTGAGGCCCATACAGCTGACCATCATGCCCCATGGTGGGAACTGGAGAACCTGCTGGAGAGTATGCACCATAAGGTGCATATCCATAACCATGGTGATACATAAGAGAACCATTATCCCCATAAACTCCCTGCCAACCAGAAACAAGCTTATTAAAACCAACATGTAACATAATACCCAAACCAAAACATTGAAATTATCAGTTCTGACAGAAAAAAAAATATCAGTGATAACTCTTGAAAGTTGACTAAATTAAAAGGATTTCATTCCAAAACATAATGAAATATATTGAACAGCAACATATATAAGCAATGCTGAAATAAAAACTTACAGTTGGCATCTCTACTCCATCAGGATTTACGTATCTAGGGTAATCGTCCCACTCATTAATGTGCCCATCGTAACCTGAAGATCAAATATCTAAATAGTCATCAAAAACAAAAACCAACAAATGCAATAGCAACAAACAGCGTTTGCAGTAATTTATAAGTGAACACATTCAAAAAGAAACCAGCAGAAATTAGCTAACCTCCATAATAATAGGCAGTAGATGCATAGCCATTAGGAAGATAGCACATTGATGGATCCATAAAATCTTGAAGTAAAGGAGTTGTAGATCGTTCAAATGACTGGACAGGACCATTGTGTGCTTCAGCAGCTTCAACAGACCCATACTGAATAGTAGAAGGCTGTGGGAAAAAAATTAATAACAAAGAGATGCAATGGAGAACATAGGAGAATATGAGCAGCTGAAAGAGAATATGGAATGTTCTTTCAAAGCATTATATCAAAAAAAAATGTGTTACCTTTTTGGTGGCCTCAGGAACTTCAATATTATTGGTCTGAGAATCTATTGACAACTTCTGCAGTAAATCTGCAGCTTCTGAAATATTATTGGTAAAGGAAACAACAAGTATCCGATAACATTTTATGAAAAATAAACAAAAAAATGGTTGTGTTAGGAACTCTATCAAAAGGAATTCTTAATTCATTACCAACTTCTAAAACATATTAGCTGTCAGACACACTAAAAGCTAGAATAAGAATACCTCTTTATCCCTAAAGCAACTCTATCTATTTTACTTAAGTCACTGTATTTTGTCAGTTTTACGTTGGTAATTTGTGGTTCTAAAGTTAAGAAAAGCTTCCCTTCTGCCCAATAAAGAAATGTTAAGAAAAATTTTACTCCAATTTGTTCCATTGCACACACTGTACGAGTATGTGAGAATGGAAAATATAGATTTGTGAGACAAGCAAATCATGAAGTAACGGTAATGAATATTTCATAATAATTTTATTGTAAACTTCCTTGAAAATGAGGATAGTAATCATAAGCTATAAGAAAATCGACCAGCAAAACTCTTGATCATCCACAAAATCCCCCAAACTAATTAGTAACTTGAAAGACGAAAGCAATAACTCGGCAAACAAATAGTCATTTATCCTACTGAAGTACAAACCAAATCTAAACAGCAAAAAGAGAAAGAAGAAAAAAGAAAGGGAATGCATTGTTGATGATCCAAAAGCCAACCAACGCAAAATTATGGGTTTTATAGAGAGAGTGACCACGAGCAATAACACCAAACGCCAAATTAAGACTTAATCCGCTATGAGTAAGAAAACTTCCTCAACGAACAAGTTCCGCACAAAAAACAGGATCCGGAATAGATCAATTCCCAAACTTGTAACAAAAGAACTTCAAACTATTCTAAGAATCATGAACTAACATACCTCTTGAAAGCACTAACGCTAAACAATATAGTAGAACTGCAGATGTCTTCTAGAAACATGATCCCCAGATCTAGACATAAACCGTTACAAAACCCGCAAACATCTAAAGACAACATACTGAAAAATAGGCAGCTAAAGGATCTTAAGAAGAAGAGAAAATTCAAGTCTACGACTGTAAAGTAGATATAGGAAAATGAAAGTAAAAACACTGAGCAAATAAAAGCATACCAACATACTCAGTATTAAGTAAGGATACGGTCCGCAGGAGGAGCTACCGCTGCCATGATCTGATTATGCGTGGAGACGAGCAATGGTGGATAAAAGAAGGATGTAAGAAAACCCTAGAAACGAGAACGAAGATTAGGGGATATTGGAGGGGAGAGAGAGAGAGAAACCCTAAGAGAGAAAAAAGGTGAGGGTCAGGTCAGCCGCCAAGAAGGGTTTGGGCTTTTGGAAAGAAAGGGTTTTTAAGATGGAAAAGCGGTGATTCAAATAGCACCACGGCTCCGCCTTCAAAACAGGATTTTCTTTTGGCGTTTGGAGTTTGGAGGGTTGCTCTCTCGAAACCCTAATCACAAAAACAAACAAAAATGAATTACCACATGGACATGGACATGGACATGGGCTTCGGTGTGGATGGGCATTTAAGGCCCTATACTTACTGGCTGGCTTCTCATTAATTCGTTAAAGACCTAGATCATAATGGGATGTCTCTTTTGAAACCAAACCGCGACCAACTCCCCCCAAACCCAAAGGGAAAAACCGGTTTAAGTCCGGTTTAGTCATGTTGATATTTTCCAATCTGAATTCTTAAAGTCTTAACCCAACCTAATTCGAACTTTAATCTGTCAAAGGCCCAACCCAAGGTAGATGAGCAGAAGTTGGATCCCAAGTCTAGACGTCAAAGGACGGTCACACACTAAAATGCAATGGACCATACCATCAATGTAGTAGACACAATCTTGGGCCTAGAAGAATTGCAGGGGCCCAGTCCCCCATTCAGCCCTCATATGGTGAAACCAAACCGACCTACTATTGATCAATGATCAGCCCCACCAATTGGTCTATAATTTGATAACGGACCCGGATTTTTTTAGACCAGAAAAAAAAAATAAAAATAAAAATAAACACTTTATAACTGATTAAGTTGTGGAGCATCACAAAAGAAAGTTGTCGGAACATACTGTTCACTGAAGGCTCAAGTCGGGGTCGAAATGAAAATTTAACATGAACTTACCGTTCACTAGATGGGCTTAGCTTAAAATGAATAATGAAAGGAGAAGATGCATTGACATGTTATATGGGTCGGACTTTGGTCTTTGTTTTTGCGATTATTTGAATGGGCCCTGCCTAAGCCCGAACCGAAATATTGTAAAGCAAAGCTTAAATCCAGCCTGTGGAACCATTTATTTTAGGAGGAACACCGAATGACCATCTCCGCTACTTGGTTTTCTTTTACTCGAATATTCATAGAGAGATCAGCTCCGTGCCAATAGCCTCTTTCAACCTTGCATCGGGAATATCTCCTGATGAGGGGTGATTTGGCCCGACCTAATAAATAGAGCACACGTGGATGCGACCTTTCAGTCAGGCAATGATTCAGCACTCTTTGCCACCTCGGGTACTTCAGTCTCTTCGAATAATATTGAAGCCTGAGGACTTCGGTGATCGCATGTGCCGAGGTGGCATGTAATGGATTTTGGAAGTTCACCAACTGCCCTCGAGCCTTTTTGGAATCACGCCGTGTAACCGTAGACCTTATCCTCGTCCCGCTTGAATCAGATGGACACTATAAGCCTTATCAGCTAGCACGTTGGCCTCGTCTGAAACGGAGTGGACTCCAACCAACTGGTCTGAAGATCCCGAAGAGTCTCCTTGGGGCTCACAGCGGCTCAACTATATAAAGGCATCAACCCCCTTGACCTAGGTACGTGCGATTACTTGCTCACTAGCACTCCTATACTCAAGCTTTCAGCTCGTAACCAAGACTACAGTACTAACTTAAGCAACGGAGCGACCTCGCCGGGTTAGCCACCCCGGGTTCTCTGATGTTTCCTTGCTGTTCGAACCAGCTCGCTACGCAACCAGCCTCCAGACAACCTTCCAGCTACAAGCTTCAAGATCGCGCACCATCAATTGGCGTCATATGTGGGAAACATTCAAAAAGCTAAAGCTCTTTACCTCCTAATTATTTCCTACTCAATGGCTTCTTCAAGCAACACCAAAAAGAGCACCGACGTGACCGTCTCCGGGGGACATGATCATAGCACAACCAACCAAGAGTTTCCTTCTGTCTGCATCAGCTAGTTCACTATCCCTCTAATTGCTTTGAGGATCTCTCTTAGCACAATTATTACGGTACACAACAGATGAACATCTCGCTACCACAGGTGAGCACCACTTTCTCTATTCCGAAGCCCTCTGTTGTCCCCCTGGGGTCGAGCACCAGCAGTTCGACAAACTAGTCCAGAGTGTCTGAACCATACAGCTACAAATGAATCAAATGCACCAGTTCCAACAGCTTCAACAATACTATTTCTACCTGTAGTACTAGCAGCAATTTCTGCCACTACAACACCAGTGTCAGAACTAGCATCAATCTCAAAACCCGAATCTGAAAAAGAACTCGAACCAGTAGTAGAATGTGCGCCCGTCTCCTCCCCATGGTGTGGTAAATCCCCAGGTTCTAGTTCCCCCTGAAACCAAATCCTACATTGGGACAGGATTGAGGGTCGACGTACACCCACTCCCCCACAAGGGGGTAAAAACTAGAACGAGCGGCCCGTGGTCAGCCACCAAACGAGGACCGATCAGTAGCAACATTTGTGGAGGGAGAACCTCAAGCCCCAAGTAAGTGACCAGCGGCAGCTCGGGGCCAGAGGAGCGAGCTCACGCCGAGTCCCCTCTGAACCTCGCAACATCCATCAACAAGTTCATGACCGTGAAGAAGCAGGAAGCTAGAACCCTCTCCCACCTCGCAATAGTATTCGAGAACATGAGCGGACGAGGATTGAAGTCCAAGACAACACAGGGATCAACAACACCAATGAGGAAGCAACAAAGAAATGGCGTCACCACAAGTCATTTCGACAGTCCGCTAGAAACAACCCGTCACCTAGGACCAGCCAACCACTGGAGCAGAGCAAGGCACGGGAGGAAGTAAGCTCAGTAGCTACACAGCCGGCTCCAATTCTGATGAGCCAGCCCTCCCCCCTATCGTCAGAGATTCTTGCGGCCCCGAGACCAAAGGACTTCAAGGTCCCAACTCTAGAGACCTAAGATGTGAAGTACGACCCCAATGATTACGTCGATGTATTCCAGTCTCAGATGCTCCTCGCTGGGGCAGATGAGGCCAGCATGTGCATCGCCTTTTCTACTACTTTCAGAGGAGTAGCCAGAACGTGGTATAGGAGTTTAGCACCGGGCTCAATTACTAGCTGGGCCCAGTTTGCTGATCGCTTCAATGCCCACTTCATCACTTGTAAGAAGTGCCCGAAGTCCCAAGCGAGCATTCTGAATGTGGTGCAGAGGGAGAATGAGACCATCCAATGTTTTATTTCATGCTTCAACGACGAATGCTTACAATTATTGGACCTCGAACCAGTTGTTCGGCTCACTGCAGCGATAAAGGGAGTCAAGCACAAAGAGTTTGCATGGCACCTTAGTGTTTACCTGCCGTAGACCATTGAGAATTTTGTCTCCAACGCTGAAAACTTTATGAAAACCGAGGAGGCGCTTAATCCCAAGGTTGAGGCCCCGCAAGGAGAAAAGAGGAAAAGGGAAAACGAAGAAGCTAGCAGTAGTAAGCATCTCCAAGAAAGAAGAGTAATGCTCCATCTTGGGGTTCTAGTTCAGGTCGGCGATCTAGGACACCCCCCGTTGAAAGGTCCTCCTACACTCCCCTCAATGCGAAGCTAGGTGAGACACTGATGTCAATAAAGGACGCCAATTACCTCAAGTGGCTGCCCAGAATGAAGGGAGATCTGATGACCAGAAACCCAAACATCTATTTTCACTTCCATTGTGACTTTGGCACACCACTGAGAACTGATGGAACTTGCGCGATGAGACTGAGGAGTTGATCCGCCGCGTCTACATGAAGCAGTACATCCAGCGCGATGGTAGGGAGTCGGGAGATTGTCAAGCCGACCAGAGAAGAGATGCTCCAGAGTCCAATAGAAGAAATGATCAGCCACCTCGGTAGCAGCATCCGCCTAAAGACAGGCCAATCCGCGAAGTGATCAACATGATCACCGACGAGTCCATTATTGCGGGGTGTACAACAGCAGAAAGAAAAACCTCAGTTCGGGAGCTCGAACATGAAGCAGAAAATCCATCGAAGAGGCCTTGGATCGAAGAGCCTATCTACTTCACTGAGAACGACGCTCGTAGGATATATAATCCGCACAATGATGCCCTCGTCGTCAAGCTAGTAATCAACGATTTCGAGGTAAAGCGAATACTAGTGGACTCAGAAGTTCCGTGGATATTCTTTTTCTGTAAGCTTTTGAACATGGACGAAGTAGTCAAGCCCCTTGGACGAATCACAGTGCCAATTGCAGCGAGAATGTGGTCCAACTTAGCGCGCTTCGAGCACACCTTCCTTGTGGTCGCGACGCCGTCCCCCTACAATGCGATTTTAGGTCAGCCCATTCGGCATGCCCTTCGTGCAGTCGTGTCCACCTACTATCTGGCGATGAAGTTCCAGACAGACTGCGGAGTAGGGGTTATACGAGGTGACCAGCTGGAATCGCGTAAGTGCTACGTGGCCGCACTAAAGGGCAAGGCGAAGTTGGCAGACAATGTCGAACTAGAGCCTCCACCCGAGCAAATAGAGGAGTGAGCTGCCCCGATGGAAGAAATCGTCCATGTCCGAATCTCTGAAGACGAGACGACGAAGACCTTCTAGATCGGCGCACTACTAAGCGAACCTCTCCGATTGCAGCTGATAAGTTTTCTACTTGAAAATTTAGATGTTTTTGCTTGGTCCGCGGCAAAAATGTCCAGAATTGACCCAAGAATAATTACTCATAGAATTAATGTGAACCCCTCAGTCATGGTAGTCAAACAAAGAAAACGGAACCTTGCCATGGAGCGGTGGAGCGTAGTTGACGAGGAGGTCGGAAAGCTTCTCGCAGCGGACTTTGTTAAGGAAGTGATAACTATGCATTTTGATGCCTTAAGGGCATCATTTCAGGGGTATTTTCAACCTTAGAATAGTTAGAGTATGCCCTTTCCCTAGTTAAATTGAATGTTGTGACCTCTAAGGGTCTCTGTGCAAATTCTGTGGAAAACTAGGGAAGTTACATGGCTGAAATGTAGTTTTTGGGAAACTGTGTGAAGTCCAACTGAGAGAGGGGGTGTTTTTGTGAAAAACTGAGAACATGAGAGCGCCTCCTATCTCTTAAACCAAGTTTGGCGCCCCTCCTACTGTGTTAGCATGCTCCTCTCTCTTTACCAACCCTAGGGCACTTTTTAACCTATTCTTTTCCTCCTTAGCAAACCCTATCCAACCCCAACAGTTTAATTTGCACCCTCCACCATTCATTATAGGGAACTCTCTTTGTAGCTTTTAAACCATAGGGCGCCACCTAATTTCTAGTCCTCACCATTCAGCCCCTAACCTCTAGATTTCATCCCTTCACTCCATCCTTTATCTCAGCCATCCACTCTACGGCACCACCCTCTCCTTTTAATCGCCACCTTTCAACCCTAGGCGCCTAAATCCTCACCATCCATTTCTAGGCACCCAAATCTCAGCCCTACATAATATTGGACGCCATCTTCTATTCTTCTTAGCCTTAGGATAAACCTAGAACCATCCTAACCTTTAATTAGAAACCCTAGGGTGCCCATATCTTTGCTAAAACCCAACTGCCGCCCCCTCTTTCTCTCTAATCCCAAAAGTATCTACCCTTCTCTATAAAAAGGACCCAAGGGCTCTTGAGAAAGGGTTGGATTCTGCCCCCAGGTAAGACGGAAGGTTGATCTTGAGAAGTTCAAGGGTAGAGGAAGAGGAGGATGCTCAAGGAAGAGGAAGGGTTCCTGTTTGCAGTTCACCAACATCACTACTGCCACCTCTGGATTCGGATCCCAACCATTAGTCATAGATTTAATTTCGGTTCTTTCGATTTCAGTTTCGTTATGTCCTTTCTGCAATTTATTTTCATTTTGTTTATTTTTCGTTTACTTGTTTGCAAATCTGGAATTTGACAAGGTAAGACGGAAGGCCTACATCGAGAAGTTCGAGGATCAAAGGAGAGATCCGAAGACTGCTACCTCTGATTGGATTATAGATTCTTTATTTCATTTCTTTCATTTATTTATTTATTTTTTTGCACTTTTAATTTCTGTAATGTTCGAATTCTATCTTTTTCAGTTTAATTAATTAATTTTTATATTTTTGCACTTCCTTCTTGTGTTCTCTTTTTCGGATTTGAGTACGTATTAATTTTTCCCTCGCTTTCCTATGGATACGACATATTCTCATCATTTTACTGTGTTAGTAGTTGCTTGAGAATCGTAAACTGGTGTTCCGAAGTATTTAACGACACGTTTTCATATCACACCAGGAGGTCCAATGCCTAAGTTGGATGGCCAACCCTGTGCTGGTGAAGAAGGCTAACAGAAAGTGGCACATATGCATTGACTACACCGACCACAATAGAGCATACCTGAAGGACTGCTTTCCACTCCCTATAATTGACCGCCTGGTAGACGTGACCTCGGGGCACGAGTTGCTGAGATTCATGGACGCCTACTCCGGCTACAACCAGGTTAGGATGGACGTAGCCGATCAAGACAAAACTGCATTTATAACCGAACTGGGGCTGTACTGCTATAAAGTGATGCCCTTCATACTGAAAAATGCTAGAGCAACTTTCCAGCGACTTGAAAAACAAGGTTTTTGAGCCTCTTATTGGAAATAAAGTAGAGTGTTATGTTAATGACATGGTTGTGAAGACCCAGTTTTTGAACTCTTTAATTAACGATTTAAATTGCGTGTTTCAAATTCTAAGAAAATATAACATGAAGCTCAACCCAAACAAGTGTCTTCGGGGTCACGTCAGGCAAGTTCCTCAGCTATATAGTGAACCAACGTGCCATTGAGGCCAACCCGGACATAATCAAGGCCATATTAGATATGAGACCGCTCCAAAAGATAAAGGAAATACAAAGGCTAACTGGCCGGGTAGCTGCCCTAAACTGGTTTATGTCTAAATCGACGGGTAGGTGCCTACCCTTTTTCAAGACAATTAAAAAGAATGAAGACTTCGTGTGGAACAAAGAATGCAAGCTCGCATTTGACAAGTTGAAAAAATACTTAAGTATCGCACCGGTTTTAACCCAACTTGAGGAAGGCGACGAGCTAAAGTCGTACCTCTCGGCAAGTGACGAGATGGTCAGCTCGGTACTAATCAGAGAAGTAGACCGGGTCCAATGGACTGTCTACCATGTAAGTAACGTATTGCAGGCTGCGGAAACCAGATACCTCGACATTGAGAAGCTGGCGTATGCATTGGTAATTACAACTCGGAAATTATGCCCGTACTTCTAAGGCCACACGATCATCATCCTAACCAACAAGCCTTTGAAGCATGTTCTGCTAAAGCCTGAGGTATCTGGTAGGTTGACGAAGTGGGCCATTCAGCTGAGCAAGTACGATGTCCGGCTTGAGCCATGCCTAGCGATCAAATCCCGAGTCTTGGTGGATTTCGTGGCAAAATGTACATTCAACACGCCGACCCCTGGACTGACTGAGCCCATTAACACATTTGAGACGTCAACTTGTGCGGCATCGGTGCCGATCGGAGTAGGACCGACATGGGATGAGGAGCCCTAAATCCTCCATGTTGACGACTCGTCTAATCAGCGAGGAAGTGGCGTCGGACTAATACTGTACGAGCCGAACGAGGTAAAGCTGGAGTATGCTCTCCGGTTCGGATTTGAGGCATCGAATAATGAGTCGGAGTACGAGAAATTAATTGCAAGGATGAGTTTAGCAAAGGAAATCGGCGAGAAGTACCTCGTAGTGTGCAGCGACTCCCAACTAGTGGTGAATTAGGTCTACGGTGATTTCGAAGATCATTGGCGATGAGGACAGAGAAGTCCGGGAACAGAGAAATCTCTGCTTCAAGTACGAGGAAAGAAAACAACAGTGTATTCTCTCATTCATTCTCTGGAAACCTGAAATACCCACAAAGGAAAAAATGTGTTTCTAGTTGCCCATCTTCGACGAGGTCGTCACCCAGTCATTTCGATGTGCTTTGTTAACATCGTTGGAAGCATGCAGTATGCAGATTCATTGTCAATGGAGGAGTTGTAGAGTGCGATTCAAGGAGCCATTACTCACTGCAAGAACTCCTTGCTTCAAAAGTCAGAACAAAACGCTGGTGAGTAATTAGATTCGAAAGTTAGTGTTAATTTTGCTCAAAAAGAATGTATCTAAATCTCTGTTTAATTTTTGTTTCTCTCTAATCTCAAGAACTTAAAACTAGATGTCTCTTAGAAGAGAATGTATCTAAATCTCTTCTCTTATAAGATGATGATTACTACGAGAAGCCCATCTCGATTTTCTCTTGGTTTGGCTTGACAATTTACGTTTACGGATCTAGGCTCTTGGGCTCTGAATTTATTAGGCTTAATGGGTGTTCGACTTTTCTGACAATTTACGTTTACGGATCTACATCCATGTTTATGGATGAGAATGAAAATGTTGACGACGCCATTGAATATTTCATTTTCAAGAGGACTGGAGTGCATGAATTAAAGCAAAAGTTGGAGGAAGAAACAGGGATCGAGGATCGTGAAGTGGGGAAGATAAACATTGTTTTTCTTCCTTGTTCGAATAATTATTACAAGGGTAATATAGGGATTAAAAAATATTATAATGGCCTTTTTGGACGGAAGGTAAACGTAAGGGGGTCTTTGTATCACAGTCATAGTATAGGATAGTACAGGAGGGTCTTTGCTGCAAAACAAAGTACATGGGAGTCTTTGTCACAGACCCCATAATACAGAGGGGTCTTTGTAATTTACCTAAAAAAACAGAGCAAAGAAAATCATAATGATATAAAAGCACTAAATTGATACCCCTAAGCCCAAACCCTAAATAAAACATGTTAGGAGCTACTCACTATAAAATATAAAATTGAGAGAAAACCAACCCACCATAATATCCTAATGCCAGCAATAAAAAGGGTAATAAAACAAATGACTCAAATATTCAGAGGTCAAGAGAAGAGATGAACCCAACTTTACCACAATTTTGAAACGATGCTTAAAAAGATGCTCTATACCCTCTCTCAATATTTATTTCCTCTAAGGCCTCGTTCGCATTTCGGTAAGTTATTTATTATCTAGGTAAATGCACTTACACAGGTAATTGTTTCCTAGGAAAGATTTACCCGGGTAAGTGCATTTACCCATGTTCTTTTATCTCCCATGTAAATAAGGCAATGCCCATTTTATCCATAAAAATCTATTATTATAAGGGGCATTTTTGTCCCTTTCAAGTGTTGGCAACTTCCCCCAAGGTGGGAAAGTTATTTACCCACCTAGTATATGGGTATCACTTACCCGGGAAAATAAACTTTCCATGGTCCCCACATAGATTTGAAAAAAGAACAAAGGATTTTTGGAACTTCCCCCCCTCTCAAAATCCAGAAAAAGAGCGCCCCCTAAGTCCTAAGTGAGGTTCACTTTGAGACACTATTGGAAAGTTGGCCGGAAATTGCCCCCTTGCTAAGCTAAAATCCAACAAAACTTCTAACCAAACTCTTCCAATTACTATAGACCACTATTGATGGAAAAAAAGAAAAAACAAAAAAAAAACTAGCAACTATTTGCAACACAACCCTCTTTTATGTGCATAAAATTGGTTTAACACCTTTTGGGGCATCTCTAGCTCCTACAATCCTCCCATTCACATATAAGGATTAAAGTATCAATATTGGGTATCATATCAGATGCAGATATGCTTTGGAAACGCATGGATACGGACGAAAAACATAGAAACACTTGGCTACGCTAAAAAAATGAATATTTCATTCCATAAATATATTACTAACAACTAGTTTAATGTCAAAATAGCTACAAATAATAAGAATTGTATATTTTAATGATATATATGAAGAAATATATTACAATTAATATAACGGAATGCATAGATATAATATAATTTTATTGAAATGCAACAATCAAGATTCCAAGACAATATTACATAGAATAATACAAATTAATACATGCACACCGTCATTATTATCTTATTCTTTATTAAAGACCAATGCACAAACATATGCAACTATTATATTTTAATTATTGTATCAAATTTTTCTATTTTACTACTTATAATTTTTAACATTAACAAAAAAGTCAACTCGAAATTAATTCTCAAGACTTTAGTAAACACTATTTTCATTTTTGTAAAAATAAATATGTTATTATAAATTGTAGATTAAAATATTAATTGATAATTTATAAAATTATATAGTCCTAACTTCAAATATATCAAATCTATTAGAATTTCAAAGATACATGTTATATGAAAATTCATAAATTTTAATTACTACAATAATTATATCATTATTAATTTTTTTAAAATAAAAATATTTTTAATATAAATATAGATTAGTGGGTCTCATAGATTCAATTTATATTAMTTTTTAAACATTTTATAAACAATATTTTTTTGGTAATAATAAATACATGATTAATTAATGCAAATTAAAATATTAATTAATAATTTATAAAAATTTTGAAATATATATCATGTTCAAATTTATAATTTTTAAGTATTAAAATAATAACTCAATTATTAATATTTTTAAATTTCTTTAAATTAAAAATCTATTTTTTGATATAAATGTGGATTTGATAGATTATTTACTCCATTGGTTTATAAAATATTGACTTAAAATATTATTATTTTTTATTTGTAATTAGAGTTGTTGAAAATAAGTGTATGGTGGTTGTTGGGATTTTATGTAGATGCTATGTAATAAACGTTAATTTATTTCATTTATTGACATAAAATAAAAGTTGGCTTTGTGGTTAACGATGCATCGCTCTTGAGCGCTAGGCGACTTAGGGTCTTAGGACACAATGGTGTATCAATCCGATACGTACCCCATGCCAGTTTGACCCGATACCAAGACAATACGCATTGTATCGGGCATACTATATTGATATTTTAATCCTTCTTCACATCTAACCTTTTCCATTCACCATTAGCGTGAACAGTAAAGAGACTCCTAGAGCAGAGGTGAAGTAACCTCTTAAGATTTCTACAGTCTTGATTTTTCATTTCCACAATCTTAATAGCAGCAACATCAGCAGGCTTCCCATCCCATACTTGCAGCGTAAGGAGACCATTTGTCAAATGTAGAGTCATAGATCACTTATTAGTGTAGTGTTCAAATCTTGCATGCTTTTGAAATTGTTTTTGTTTGGAGCTTTTCTCTTGCATTGTCTTTCGACGACACTCATAAAACCCAAAATCATCAAGAACGAATGTAGACATTTGGCAATAAAAGACAATAAGAAATTAAAAGATACAAAATATATCACCTCTTGAGTATCCTGCTATTAGTATTTGTTCTCATTGTTTTCAAGGGTGATGTGCTTCAATAAACTGTTAGGAACATCCTTTACTATATGCCACTTCACCGGGAAAAAAAAAAGTTTGGACTAAATTGAGCACATCCCTGTTAAAGAATAGAATGGCATATCAAAATATATGGTGATACTCGTAGAGAAGAACAGGAATACAGGATAGCCACAGGATAGCCACTAGGGTCGAATGGTCTGACGGTTCAAACTGAATAGATGGCCCATTCTAATAAAAAATACCGAGACAACAGTTTATTAATCAAATCAATAGTTTTTGGCCAAAAAGAAGTTCTACGCTGAAACAGGACTGATTCCTGGTTTTTCCGGTCTGGTCCGATTTTAAAAACATTGGCCGCCAGGCTTCTCCTATGTCTCATAGTACCCAAAATCCAGCTGCTTCTTATTGCCATTAGGTGTGCTGTCCCACACATCATACTTGATGCTCTTATGGACATCTCCTCATTGTATGATTTAATAATGAAAAACTTTGCATCAGAATACTTCTCCGGGAAATCTTCTCTACTGTATTGTTCTTTGTCAGGGAATGACACTTGAATTATCTCTATTTTCACTGATATTCCCATTTGATGGTAAGCTCTGCCCCTTGGCAATTGTGATGGGTGCAAACACCTTCTGATTCTTGAACCCTTTTGCTCTGGGTCCTCTGTTCAACTCATTTAGACCATCCATATTCTCGTTCCCATAACCAAAATAACCATTTCCTATTCTTCTTGGTTTATATTTTGAATCAAGTACTACATCCACGACCATTTGCACGAGTATTGATGTAACTTGATCTAGTGCTCTCTACTAGAGGACAGTTCGGACATCAGACAAGTGGGGTCGCCTAATTGAGTTGCAAGGCAAGTAGGTCAGATTGTTCGGGGTGCTTTATCCGGTGTAGGCACTTCTATGCTTAAGTTAGCGATTAGGAGATTTGAGAGAGCTGAAAGCTTAGATTGCAAGAGAATTAGAGAGTTGAGTCGTGAGTACCATGTGAGACTGGAGGCAAGGCCTTTAAAAAGGCGGGTTGCCGTAGGCCTCACGAGTCATGATGTGTGTCCGACATCGTCGGCCCATCTGGTCCAAAGTTGGTTTCGCACCCAAAGATGGACTCCGCGTAAGCTGATAAGGCTTATCCAAGTCCATTCGAATCAAGCGGGGATAAGATAAACTCCATTGACATTGTGTCATGATCCCAAGAAGATCGGAGACAATTGGCTTGCTTCTAGATGAAAGTTACGTGGCACCTCGGCAGGTCAGTGCATATACTAGAGTTATTCACACCTCGGTCTAACTGGATGACCCGAGATGCATGAGGTGACTAGATCACTGAGGTCACCGAGGTCGCTAAGGTGTCACCACATCATTCCGTCACTCTAGGTGTCATCACATTACTAGATGAGCCAAATTATCCATCATCAAGTATCATAACCATTATTCCCATAGCCTGGACCAGTTCTAACACCATTACCACATTGACCGTAAATCTTATTGTTTGGGTACATCCAATTTACAAAACCAGGAGTTGGGTTCAGGCCTTGGATGGTGCAGGCCCTGTCATTTAGAGAAAAAACATAGCAGAGTACAAATAAGAACTTAGTATAAAAATGTAACAAATTACTTAAAAAAAGCATCAGTGTGCGTGTAAAACCAGCACAGATAAGTATCAGATAGTGAGTATGATATGTGGAAGAGGTCGAAGATTTTGGTTCCTTCCCGAAGTTGGGCCTCACTATCAGGAAAAAAATGGGCCATCTATCCAAACAGTGTCGGAGAGAGGAATTTTTCTTGGGGGCCAAATTAAACAAGAAAATGAGAGAAGGAATAGAAGAGGTAGGGTTTGTCAGAAAATGCGGCGGGAAAGTTTGGGTATGGGTATGTAAAGTTGAAGGAGCATTAGAGAAGGTTTGGCCTTTGTTGTCTCTAATGACAAAGGCGCCTGCTTAGCAGCAACAGAGCTGGAAACCTCACCTTGAACAACAGAGCTGTGGGGCGCAGATGTGAATTCATTCAACTGACGATAATGCCTCATGGTGGGAATAGAAGAACCTGTCGGAGGGTATGGACTATGGAGCATAAGGTGCATACCCATAACCATGATAATACATACTTTTCAGAGCCAATAATCAATTGATTAACCAAATCATGGTCTCCATATAATAGGTTCCGCAAACTTTATAAGGGCTTCGCAGAAACAAAAATCAGAGAAATACACATGTATGAAAGCAAAACTAAATGAGAAACTGAGGCTAACCTTGTTTGCCGTGTGAACTTCATTCATGTGCAACTCCATCACACCAAACCGTTTGTAATCTCTGAACCGTTGAGAATCCAAAAACGTGATCATCGACATGGGTGTTCACGACTCACATTAAGGGATTCCCTTGATGGCTTGGTCCGTAACATAACCGCTAATGGTTTAAAGACGATCTAGGGTTGCTCAATATGAAAGCAACTAGCCATTCACAAACCATACTTGTATCCTTCTATTTTTTTTGTTTACGAGACCGTGAAATAGTTTGCCATCGGTGTTAAGAAAAGGTTGAAAAAAGAAATATAGTCCGCGAATTAAAAGGATTAATCATTTAAGAGATCAGGTATGGGGAATTTGGGAAGGGATTTTTTTTGTTTTTTCTGCGGGGGCGAGAGCAAAAGGGTTTCAGACCAAACATTTGACTTGCACAAGACCATAAAAAAGGAATGGAATAGTGCGATCATGTTCATAAACAAGGATCCATTAATTTTCTTTTTTTTAATTCTGATTGTAATTGTATATAATATGCTTCGATGCTTGTAGAACATTGCTACCTTCTCAAGAGATTAGAGATATTAAAGACCGCTACTAAAATCAAAGCAAGCTAAAAGCTCAAATGAGCCAAGAGGACAGGCAGCAGAAACAACTTGACTGACAGGTGTTTGTATCAAAACAAACTGGGTAATACACGCGAGAGGAGGAGGATGATATACAATGACGACGTCTCTCCTTCCTGGATCCTTAATAACTGTAAACTCTTCAAGATATTGAATTCCTCTATTGCAAACAGTTTCCACCCGGATTCTGGTCCTCTTACAAATACAAAAAACCGCAACAGAGCAGATTTACAAGGGGTAATAGATCTAAAGAGAAAGAGAGAAAAAAAAAAAAGATCAAAGAAAACCATTAAGAAATAAAAGCACAAAAAAGATCCCTAAACCCAAACCCTGAAGTAAAAAGCAGTTAGGAGATACTCATAAAGAAAAGAAAACTGACCCACCACAATATCCTAATGCCAAGGGAAAAAAGGTCATAAAGGGGATGATGACTCAAATATTGAGGATCATGAAAATAAGTTTATCCCGACTCACCATATTTTTTAAACGACAATAAAAGGGCTGTCAACATTTTATTACCTCAATAGTAAGCCAGGTCCACTTGGAGTTGGCCAGCGTTTGCCCACTTTCTATAATAATCCGGCAATACTTCTGACCGAACTCTTTAACAATTCCAATAACCATATACCCACTCTTGATAAGTGAAGATCTAGCAACCATTTGCAACCCCGTTAGCCACAACCCTCTTTTCTGTGCCTACAGGTTTGGCACCCTTTGGCGCATCTCTAACTGCTGTAACTGTTCCATTTTCTTCTGATCTTTTCCACTCCCCATTAGAGTGAACGGTAGGAGACTCCTTAAGCAAAACGGAAGCAACCTCTAAAGATTTCTGCAATCTTGGTTTTCCAGTTGCACCATCTTTTTCTTTATCATCAGTAACAGCAATATCAGCAGGCTTACCATTCCATACCTACAATGCAGGTCACTATTTGTAAACCATAGAGTTGTATGGCTCAACATTACCAATGGAAGAAGTTTGCAAGGAATAAATTATGGGTATTATACGTAAATTCTTAACTTATATAAATAGGACATAGCTGATGACAAAATACATATAGATAATAGTTTAAAGTTCGCATCATACCTGCTTCTGCAACTGCAGTTGCTTGGCCCTTTTCTCTTGCATTGTCTTTTGCCGAGTCTCATAAAACCCAAAGTCATCAAGAATGCATGTCTTGCTGGAATGCTCCTTGAATATTTTGAGCATTTGAAGCCCCTGCTCCATCTTTACCTGTAGAAACCAAAACATCTGACGTTAAGAGAAATTAAAAAAAATAAGATGCATACATATAGACAGTATAAAACCACACATACCTCTTGAGTGTCCCTACTATTAGTGACGGGCTTGTTCTCATTATTTTCAAGGGTGATGTGCTTCAACAAACTGTTAGGCACATCCTTTACAATATGCCACTTCACCGAGAAGCAACCATTCCATTTGTCTTGTTGCCAGTACTCCACATTCTTGTTAAAATCAACTGGTCCAACCATCTCAGCGACACCAACAAATTGCCCACTAGTGTTCACCTGGGAAAGAAGAATAAAAGCTGGAAGGTTAGACTATGAGCAGATTCTTTTTAAAGAAATGCATAAGACGTCACAGTATGTACTCACAGAAAAAAATAGGAATACAGGACAGCAATCAGGCTTCTCCTGTGCCTCCTGGTATGCAGCATCCAGCTTCTTGTTCCCATTAGGTGTGCTGGCCCACACATTATACTTGATGCTCTTGTGAACATCATCCTC